CGAAACTACCAAAAACCTTAACCGGTCCCGGTTTTCGGTCCCATAACCGGTCCTTACCGGTCCCGGTCCCGGGCCGGTCCTTTGTCGGTCCCGGTCCCGGTCCCGGTCCTCCGGCGGTCCCGGGCCGGGCCGGGCCCATTTGGCCATCTCTAGCTCCTGGTATGGCACCCAAGTCAAATTTTGGTCAAACAGACCTCCACTTGTTACCCTTTCAACATCGGTCAAATTTTGCTTAAGAAAAACAAAAATACCCAAGTCATATTTGGTTAAAAAGCAGGTATTGGATCTATTTGCTTTTAGTTTGGTTAATAGCAAGAAGAAATTCATATGATCACAATAATTTTTTTATCAAATGGATGAAACTGTTTAGATGAAACTTTGGAGTTGATTTGGACCATAATCCTCAAATTTTTTGTCAACTTGTTTGGATTGACAGGAAATGTTGTTTTGAACTAATATTAATAGAGTACATACTTAGATTTGCAAAATAATTGTTTTATTCAGATATTTATCAAACAATTATATTTCATTCAGAACTAATTCATACAGAGGGTTAAAATGTTGATTTGTTGTCATCCAAATTGTCCATTCAGAACAATTACCAAATAATCATATTTTATTTTGTATTATATCATACAGAGCCTCTTAAATATTCTGACAACTTAACCATTATACATCAAACCATTCAGTAATTGTCAAACAACTTCATGCTCTATTTCTTAAACCCATCAATTTACACTCCTCTTCTTCATGATTTACTTACATTGAGAAGTTGATAAAATGGGGAGCCCACACAAGTAGAACTAATCCGGCCCAACAACAAGATGGATATAAATTTCAAACAAATAATATCGCTTTTTTCATAATAGTAGTTGTCATTTACCTTAAATTTGATTTTTATTTTTAAATAATTACATTTTTTTATATTATTATGGTTGTCAACTTTGTCGCACTTTTGGTCTCTCTACTTGCTTTTGTTAACAAAGTTTTTTAATTCCATAAGTATTTTGGAATTTTTAATTTTTTCATTACTTTTTTAGAGGTGTTTGGGATTGCTTATTTGAAACAACTTATATTTTTCTACAAAAACACTTATCAACTTATTATAAGTTAGGAGGGTTTAACTTTTTTTTAAACTTCTTATTACCGGTTTGTCATCGGTATAAATTGTTTATTCACACACTCAAAAAATGTTTATTACCGGTGTCACATCGAAATAAATGAATAAGTTGTTTTTATAAGCAATCTCAAACACACCCTTATTATAGTTAAAAGTTGTTATTATTATACATCATCCACCTCCTTCACTATCATTGAGAGAGAGAGAGAAACAATATTCTTGTATGATTTTATACTAAAAATCATACATGATTAAGATATTCTCATGTTATGTTATTTTGACATTGTTTTCGTTTGAAAATCATATATAAAAAAGTTTTATTTTTATCATTCAATTAATAATGTATGTATGATATATATATATATATATATATATATATATATATATATATATAAAGCAAAAGGCAATTTGTAAAGTTTCTTGAAGGACCATTTTGTAATCACAATAATAGCGACCATTTTCGACATTTTGCATAAAATGAATGGACCTAATCATTTCAATTATTAGAAAACAAAAGTTGTACACTTTCTGTTAATTACATAACTATGTTTGCATGTACACATTTAATATAGAAAAGGTGTAAGAGCATTTACAATGGTAATTTAGATAGTGAGATTATAAATATAAAAAAAATATGGTAATCTTCCTCAAACTTGATTATCAGACGATCTAGATTGCAATCTTATCAACCCTATTTTAATGTCACATTTTCATTGGTTATTATAAGATTTTTTTTTTTATAAAATTTATATGATAAAAAGATGTCTTTAACAAAAATAATAATAATAAATATGTCAGAATTCATGGTTTTCAATTTCCTACAAAGAGCCCAATATTGACATATTTTCATCACACCATCTTTTTTATCTTTTCAATCCTCTCGTTATCTTGTAAATTTCATAAAAAAATCAGTTTCTTTCAATTTTCTCCTATGGCTCCAGACTTTCCAAAAAGATTCAAATTCTTAACATCCTGATAACTCTCAATATCACCCGAACACACAGTATGAAAACTATGATAATCAAGTTCCTATCCCTGAAAATACCCAAACACCGGAAAAGAGTTCAAGAGCCGATAAATGGGAAACCAAAGAAGATATGGTGTTGATGTCAGCATGGATCTATATTAGTGAAGAACCTACTCGAGGCAAAGAAAACTAGAAGAAACAGAAATTCTAATCACGAGTGAAAGAATACTATGATAAAACTCGAGCAGAAAATGTAGAAGGACTGAGAATCAAGAACGAAAATCAAATGAAAGGTCGTTTTGCACGACTTAACGAAAGTGCAAACAATAATGTGTTGTCTCTTTCACTCAGGTTCACATGTCATTATCTTCCAATAATGTGTTGTCTCTTTCATTCAGGTTCACATACCATTGTCTCCCAATAATGTGTTGTCTATTTCACTCACGTTCACATGCCATTGTTTTCAAATAATGTGTTGTCTCTTTCACTCGTGTTCATATGTCGTTGTCTCTCGATAATGATAGGTCTCTTTTACTTAGGTCCACACTCCCAATAATATGTTGTCTCTTTCACTCAGGTTCACATACCATTGTCTCCCAATAATGTGTTGTCTCTTTCACTCAGGTTCACATGTCATTGTCTCACAATAATGTTAAAATTCCCTTCTATATTTGTTGTCTTTCAACAAAGACTTATACAAACAATTTTTCTCAAACATCCATTAAAATGTCTCACGATGAAAACACTTTACCAAAATTAGTTGACGAATTTGATGAATGGCAATCATGAGTTGTTCAACAAAACCAACAACTTGATTGCATCATCGAGGATATGGTCATAAACTCATCCAATTTGTTCATAGGATCCAAGAGCAAGTAGGAGGTATCATGATAGGCAACGTGAGATGAGTGAAGTGCGTTTGATGGAAGACTATTTTATCGACAATCCGATGTATGACCAGGTTATCTTTCGAAGAAGATTTCGAATGCAAATATCTTTATTCCGTCGTATAGTGGATGATGTTACTGCAAATAACGAATATTTTCCGCAAAGATCTGATGCCACAGATAGACAAAGTCTTTCACCATTGCAAAAATGTACTACGGCCATAAGGGTGTTGGCATATGGGGCATCAATTGTTGCAGTTAATGAATATTTGAGAATGAGTGGATCCATAATAAAGGAAGTTCTCGTGCACTTCGTAGATAGTGTCATCACATGTTTTGGTGACGAGTACCTCAGAAAGTCTAACGAAGCTGACTTGGCAAGACTACAGTATGTTGGAGATCAACGTGGATTCCTGGGTATGATAGGTAGTATTGATTACTACATTCATTGGGAATGGAAAAAGTGTCCAAGTGCATGGACTGGACAATATGACGGAAGAAGTTGAAAGCCAACAATCATTTTGTAAGTCATTGCATCATATGATTTATGGATATGGCATGTTTTATTTGGAACCCCAAGTTCGCTTAATGATATTAATGTACTCCACCAATCTCTAGTTTTTAATGATGTATTGGCAGGCTGATCACCAAAAGTTAGTTATATCATGAATGATCACGAAAATGATAGGGTATATTATCTCACTGATAGCATATATCCTTCATGGGTTGCATTTGTCAAGTCAGTTACATCTCCCCATATGTGGAAGCACAAGTTGTTAGCTCAAGCTCAAGAGACATGAAGAAAGGTTGTTGAGCGAGCATTTGGAGTTCTACAAGCTCGTTTTGCATTTATTCGACGACCATGTCTTGTTTGGGACTGACATGTAATGGGACGAATTGTGATAGCTTATGTCATCATGCATAATATGATAGTTGAAGACGAACTACATACATACCGAAAATATTATTATGATCCTTCTGAGTTTCTTAACGACATGCCTACAAATCGACAACAAGCAAGCACTACAGAAAATGATGGTCAATCAACTAAATTCTCTACTATACAGATTTCAAACCTATCTCATTATATGGCTAAAGAGAATAACTTCGCAATAGGGAATCTCATATCATAACACTCTAAAAATGATTTGATTGAGCATATATGGCAAAAATTCGGTCATGATAATTAATTACGATTATTTATGTATTTTAGATATGTAATTTCGTACTTATTTTTGTGACTTGCTTTATTTAATTCAATTGTACGACAAGTTTTTTTATAATTATAATTATGTTTTAAAATATGTAATGGTCTATTTATTCTATTCTTATATTTAAAATTAAAAATTAAAAATTATTTATAAATATAAAAAGTTAAATATATAATTTTTAAAAAATAATATTTTATATTTGATTTGATTGGACAAGATTGTGGTTAAATGATAAAAAAAAATTATATAATGAAGTTGAAGATTGTACAGATAGATGAGAGAGAAAAAGTAATATTTTAATTGAGATTAACTTGAAAAGTATTGCGAGTAAAGGTGGTCTAAATTTTTATTATAAACCTATAGTAAAAGATTGATGTAATCATTTACTAAAAAAATATTTAACACTTATGAAGTACTCATCTGTATTTGTAGGGCTAACGCTTTATTCTTTTATTTAAATGTATTTAATAGTTGATTTTTTTTTTAATTGTTTTAAGTAAAGTTTAAAAAGGTTGTAAGTATGTAAACTTAAAATTTAAAGGTTATACACTACATTTAACAAGGGGCCGTTTATCAAACACTTATTCAGGTAAGTGAACACCAAGTCATATTACCTTACCGGATAAATATGATAAGGATCAAGAATCTTATCCGGTAAGAGCGAGACAATAATCAAGAGTCTTACCTGGTAAGTGAGAGCAACGACTCTTACCACAGTAAGCACTTACCAGGTAAATTGTTGCATAAGATACCGTTTTGGTGGATTAAAATCTTACCCAATAGGTAAATGATAATGTTAACTTTTACTGATAAGTGTTTACCGGATAAGTGTTTGGTAAACGGCCCCTAAGTAGTGTCTAATAAATTGTTTTCTAGAGTTTATATCAAATGTCTTATAATATAAGTATAGATTAAATCTAAAACTTTTTATTCATTTTTAAACCACTGGAGTTGGTAAAAAATTGTCCAAAATGTTTGGGATACCCACAACATCCTAAATTGGTTTATTTAAACATAATGTATTACTTTATAATAATATAAAATATGAGTAGTAATGAACTTGAGAAATCTTAAAAACTAATCCGACTATTTTGCTACCTCTATAAATAGTGTATATATTTAGAGTTTTCTTTTTAATTTTTGTAGAAGTATGGCATAAAGTAATTTAAAAAGAGCTTAATTGAAAGATAAAACACTCTTAAAGAATTCATCAAGTGGAATAAATTGACATGCCAATAAAAGTCTACACAAGTTTTCCTCCATTATGACAAATATGTATTATATATATAGAGAGAGGAGCGATCAAATAAAAACCATATTCATTTGTAAAAACCGTACAAACCACCCTCATACGTCGATTTTATTGTTTAATCTTATGAAATTTTTTCATGAAATTGTTTAATCTTGTGAAATTGTTTCATATAATACTTTTTTTTGATAAATTTGTTTCATATATGGTTATGAAATTGTTTCATATAATA